GTTGTATTTACCCAGAATGCCTTGCTCTGTAGTTTATTTCCTGCTTTTAGAGTGGTCTTTGGTTTGCTTGGCATTCTCATGTGCATTTCAGTTCATTTCAATCAAGCTGAGATATATGTTTTTAGATGAACCAAAGTTTGGAGAGGTGTGAAGATACATTCACACCTCTCCAAACAAACCGGACGTAATCTAGACAACTGAACTAGAGGTTGATTAAAGTGAACTAAACGGGACTGTTGTGAATGCACCTTAAATTGAATTCAGAATCTTTATTTGGCCAGTCTTGAAAACACATGCTCAGATGTTTCCATCTGAATGAGTTTTTAGGAAAAAGGACTGGGAAAAACTGTCAGTCTTGCAAAACTATTGTTGCTTGTGAAGATGTTCAAATGGTGTGAATGCTTCTACACGGCCATGTAAACGGGACAGATTAAGAGCCCTGGATGGGACTGTGTTGATATTCAGGTGCAAGCCACAGTCACATTGAGCCTTGCAATGCAAGTTCTCAAGAGGCCTGGAGACTGCGTGAGAGAAGGATTTAAAAAATTCTGCAAACGTTCCACGGATTCCACCCTCACAGGGACCTTTGCAGAAAGAATGGGTCATATGCAAATGGCGTACACAGTGTGGTGGAGAAGTTTCCCACAAGCTGAGTGTGAAAAGGGTTCTCCCTCCCCATGCCGGGCCTGCTGAATGGTCCTTTTCTTCTGCCGCTCAAAGTGTATGAGGTAGAGCAGGCGAACTGCAAGGTAACTAGGCTCTTTCTCCTCAGGCTCCCCCCTTTACCAAAGCCCCCCAACTCACAATGGTTCATTTAGCCATTCAGCCACACAAACCCCAATAAAGCACATCCGAGCGCAGTTAAGGGGGTTACTGAAACTGACTCGGGGTTTAAACCTCCCTCTTTATGAAGGGAGAGCACCTTTTTATAGGCTAATGCTCTCCTCCTCCATGGGTTAGCTAATCATTAAGCTGCCTCCGCAGATATGCCAGTCTGCCCATCCATCACCCAGTTTGACCAGGAAACCTTTTCCCATCTTCACGGATTGACGAGAACCAACTTAGAGGCAACACATAAGAGTGGATGGCTTTGACCACGAGATGCAATGAGTTGCATATCATACGTCGCATCTGCCAAAGCAGACGCTTCCCCACTTGTCACCTGTTGTACCCCCCCTCCCTTGCTTTCTCCCCCAGCCACTGTTCTTCTGCAGGGCACAGGGAGCTCCCACTTTAAAAGAGGAGGGGTCAGAGTAGAAAGGAAGGGAGCGCAGAATCCCCCCATCATTGAACAGACTTAAACACAAACACAATTGGACATGCTGGAAGCCACACAATGGCACAGAGGGGGGAAAGTGAAGTCATACTCTAAAAACGCATGGGTGCCCAGGTCAGGGGGCAATCAGCCACTCCCCACCTGCCCCCCTTAGCTACTGTGTCTTAACCTTCCCTCCCTGCCCACCGCCCCTCTCTATTCTCCAAAATAAAGCCTTTGCTTTGGAAGGAAGGGAGCGAAAGAGAGACGGAGCGAGCGCTGAGGCACTGTGGGGGATTTTCTTCTTACTTGGCACTTTCAGATGCGGCTCACTGAGGAAGCCGCTGAAAAGCTGAGAGATAAATGAAAAATTTCCTCCTCTGCCAAACTCCTCACATGACAGGGGTAGACCCCTTAAATGTAAACAGATGTCTTTTAGAAGGCAGGAGTGGGCAACGTACTCCTCCATAGTCCTAAAGGTCCCCCCTCCCCAAGGATACGCCACTGTCTCTCACCATCCTCCCTAAAGCTGAAATCAACCCGACGCTTAGGTTGAGCGGAGTTTCACCACTGGTTTCCACACTGTTACATAAGTTTTCTTTTTTTAAGTGCAAGTAGGTTTTCACTGTGTGTGTAGATGTCAGGAAGAGATGAGATAAACATCTACCTACATTCTTCTAGGTAAAACTCTGTAACTCATCAATTACAAGAATGACACGCAGATGGAAAATGTCCACCAGAACAGATGCTTGACCGAAAAGTAGATTTGCAATTAAGGTCAATATTTGGGGTTTCATTTGGGAAGATCCATTTTTATGTTTTCCACAACATTTCGTAGTTTTCCAGACTCAAAATTCCTAAAGTTCTCATTAGTCTGTCAGACAATTTGTGAAGCAGAAATTGAGAACTACATTGAAAATGTTTTTAGGGGTGCACTGGAGTTTTCTGCCCAAACACCAATTTATAAAAAGCCTGACCTGTCTGTTCCAATTTTAGACTATTCTTTTTGTGTGAAAAGTTGCTGAGTTCGCAACTGTTTGGCGACTATTGTTAACCTCGTCTGGATAAGTGCAGACAAGACCTGTGGGGCAGACAAGACCTGTGGGGCAGCTCTGTCTCTCTGATAGCAGAGCAAAAGGTTGAGTGGCTGATTTTCAGACCTTTGCGAAGGTAGATAAGACAGGTGGATAAGATTGATTCCTTACATGAGATAACCCAAAATAAGCTGAATCGGAGCTCTAGAAGGCATAGCAAGTATTTTTAAAGTGGTCAGATGTCAAACTGAAAACACAGAAAGTAAGGAAGAGAGATAGATAATTAGATGGACTGAAAGTAGGATATATGGATGGATGCACTGCTTAGAAAATGGGATGAGAACCGAAATATTTTGAAAGTTTTTGTTTTCTTCTTCTTTTTCTCCAGTTTGGTAAAGATCATTATAATAAGTCAAACTCCACATTTTTTCAGAATCTTGTACCTAGCTGCATAAAAGTGTGGAGAACTCTCTAAAAGAGAGCATTCCAGCCTTGTTTATTTTTGCAAAGGATCTTAATGCAGGGTGCATTCCTCTATTCCCAAATCGCTGCATTAAATTACCGTCGCAGAGGATGGTTGCTGCTCCCCATGGAGGTTGGGATGGGAGGGGAGGCCCGACTGGGCGACGAAAGGGGAGGTGACTGGAAACACCTGTCGTCCTGCTGGCTGTTAACACCTCTCTGTTTACAGTCCGGGAATGGAGCTCACCTTGATCTCAGCCCCTTTGAGTCCCCCCTTTTGCCAGGCAGGAACCTGGCTGAGTCACGGCCCGTAAGGACCAAGGCCCGGACTAGTGGCATATTTAGAACAAAACGAGACGCTTAAAAATGGATGAAATGACAATAAGGACCAGAACGCTTCACTTAAATGCAGGGACGTTGATCTACGTGACAGATTGTCAGCCCCTCACAGGGGAGGGGGAAAGTCCCAACAGCGCTTTAAAGCAAAAAAAAAAAAGGGGGCAAAGCAACAGAAAAAGGCATCTGTTTGGTCAAAAAAGGGGGACTTTGCATATCAATAGAGCTCTGTCAATATTCCGAAAGGTTTAATAAAACACAGTTAACTTAAAGAAAGAAGAGCAATAAAGAAGATCTAATGAAAAGTTTAAAAAGACTCAGTAAGATGAAGAAAAGATAGTTTTAAAACCCCCATTGAGAGAGACAGAAATAGTCAAATATGACAAGAAAGGAGGAAAAACAGAGCAGAAAAACAATCCCAAGTCTTCTGCTGCTGCTGTCCACAGAAAACTCCCAGGACAGCCAAGCCCGCAACACACAACACCACGCGGTCGCATTTTTCCCTACCCACGGATTACTGTTATAGCAACACGGGCTCACAGTGAGTGAAACAACACCGAAACAGCTGCGTTACCTCAGTTCCTGTGAGTTACACCCGGTGATACAGGCCAACGCATGCCGGACAGAGAGACAGTGAACCCCCTCGATGCAAACAACTTCCTCCGTCAAGTTAATTCACGGCTAATAAAGAACACGCCATGGAAATGTTACATTTATGACACTTATTTTAATATTTAACACCGGTGTTACAGAAGGATAACAACTTAAAATCACCAAAAGCTGCTAACGTCGCACCTTTTAGGTATGCGCGGCAACGCAGAGCTTCACAAATACTTCAAATCGGCGAAATGTAGCGAGAACAGAGAAGAAAAGGGGAAATCTGAGCGCGTGGACAGGTTCGCTCGCGTCCCTGGTCCTACGAGAATCAGGATTCCCGTCGCGCGACAGGAGTGGATCCGCTCTCCTTATATGGGCTGCGCTCAAACAGCGCGTGAGATATCCCCTCGCTCTCCGGAACCCCGGTCACCCCGTCCGTGTTTTCTGCTGAGCTTTCACTCCACACTCTATCATCTCGACCATAAAATAAAAGTCCCTGAATGAAAAACACTTTTCAGAAACAATGTGAGCAAAAAAAAAAAAAAAAACAACAACAAAAAAACAAAAAACAAAAACGCGAATGAGATGGAAACAATGACAGCTCAAAACCAGCTTCAACACAAAATAGGTTCATTTTCTCTTAATTTCGTTTTATTTTAAAAGCGCAACTGTGTTGTCGTCGATAGGACTGATATAAAGCGGCCGAATGGAGGCAGAAACGGAGCAGTTTGTCCGCCTCTTGTAGCTCAGCAACAGCCTGTACCTGCTCGGAGTGGACCAAATGAGAGCGGACCAAACAGTTGTATTCCTATTTGTTCCGGCACAACAAATCTCAAAAGCGTTCCAAAACAAACACCTGGCTAAATGGAATGTTGTTTCTCCACCAAGAACTGCTCTGAGATAACCACTGAGGGACAACCAGGTAGCGTTTTATCCCGTTTCCCAACAGAAACAGGTCCGAGTTTCACGGTGGGCTTTCTAACTCGATAAAAACACGGTTTAAATCAATGAATGCTGCCCGGTTTCTGGTGCTAAATGTGTGCTCGGCGGAAGAAATGAGGGTAAAGTGGGCAGAAGGAGCTGCTGCGCTCCCCGCGCTGTGAGGTGCGCGTATAACGGTCCCCAGCGCGGCGGACCGCTAGGCGGAGGGGAGAGTCGCGACCCAGGTATAACGGTGCACCGCACCGCTACTTCCCACCACTTTCAGCGTCAGAAAATCAGCGCTCACACACTGCTGAACTTTTCGGCCAAATTAGCCGGCGACAGAAGAGCCTCCGGAGAGAGGAAACTCCTCGGAGGAAGTAGTTTTTACTCACCGTTGGTCCTCCTCGGGTTCGCCTGCTTTCTGCGCTTACACCTGGGGCCATCCGCCATGATCCTTTCGTTGTGTCTAAATGCTGCCGGAGAGTCACCTCCTCTCTCACCCCCTCTCCCCCTCCTCCTCCACCACCACCACCTCCCTCGCTGCCTTCACCTCCCCTTCTTCTCCGCACCTGGTTTACGACAAAAAGGCTTTACGGCATTACTTTGCCCTATCTCCCCAGAAACGCGCTGAATGCGGGAGAGGACGGGCTGGCTGTGGACTCTGTTACCTGCCTTGCTCCCAGTGCACGTCCTGTGTGTGTAAAACACACTCCAGTAGTTTTTTTTCAAGGTGTAGTTCCGCTACCTAGTGGTGGTAATGGTTTTGAATTGTTAGTATGAAAAAAAAGAGCAAAAAACAAACAAACAAAAACAAAAACAAACAAACAACCTGCCAAACAGGGCGGGGCAAAAGTTGTATGGGGCCCTAAGAAGAAATTAATTTGGGGCCACACCTCAGTTAAGTGCACCTTTCACCAAAGCCATATAAAATACTTTTTATAAGCATTTGAAATCAGTTTTGACATGACATTTTTAAAAGAAATATAAACAAAACAAGATGGTGTTTTGATCAAAGCCATTGTGATTCTATATTTCTTTTTCTTTTATGTTTTATCCCTACTTTCTACTTAAAAAAAAAATAAAAAATTCTACGGCAGAATTGATTTAAGGAGTTCTGAAACATCATCCAGCATGGAAGTCCAAAACATTCACAAACTGCGTCTCCATCATCCATGAAAATGTGCAAATTGAAATTCTGAAAATAAATTACCTTGGCAGAAGCGAAGCACTTTAGAAAAAAAAAATATATATATATATATAAAAATAATAATCAAGTTTTCCGATGAAACGTTTTTGCGCTGTAGGATGAGGTAATGAGCGCTAACTCATCTGACTGAATTATGATTATATTTCATATAGCTATTTACATCCATTGCTTCCATGTGCACAGGAAATTAAAATCACAAGTGATTTTAATTTAATTTCTTATTTAATGGAAACACCAACATTAGTGTTTTTGACATTAGCAGAATTTCGCACATTTGTTATAGAAAGGCAGCTGCTGTTTGCCGACACCTTTTTTCCAACTACAGTAGTTCTCGTGTATATAAGTGAAAAATGTTTTTTTAATATAAGTGATAATTAACCATTGCTGATGTATCCAGTTACCAAAACAATATGTATTTTTCCCTCCAGCCCAACCTGGCAACCTGTTTGTGTTTGTGTGTGTGTGTGTGTGTGTGTGCGTGTGTGTGTGTGTGTGTGTGTGTGTGTGTGAGGCAGCAGATAGAGCTCATGTGCGTTAATGGAGAGAGAGGTCATGAGACTGTCATCAGTGATTCCATCCTCCTCGTGAAGAAAGACCCCGCTGTTCTGCTCAGCCACGCTCACAGGACAGCGATGTGCAGCCCAGGTTCAGACTGCGACCAATCGCACTCATACCTTCAGCCGCGCGTTATCACAGCACTCTCTGTGTGGTGGAGGGAAGAAAAAAAAAAGAAAACACACACCCACGATCACATGTTTTGAGGTGAATTCCTGTGGATGCTCGTTCTGATGAGGCCACTTGGTTCACAAACTCACTGCAGAGGGAAGGGATGCTTGAGGTCCCATGACTTGTAACAAAAGGAAAGAGGAGTCACAGCTGCTGCCCAGCTTTAGAAGCTGATGATGGTTAATATTAGCAAAGATAAACAACAACCACAGCACAAAGCCTTACACCTCATTTTCTCTTACATTGCGTCCATATCAAGCCTGAAGTAACATACTATAGAATTACATAAAGTAGCATAATGTAAAGCAATGCAACACAACGTACAGTATCATAATGTAATGTATCACAGCATAAAGTTTGATAACAAAGTAGCATAATGTAAGCAGCGGCACATAAAGTAGCACATTGTAGTGTATTTCAAAGTATTGTAACATAAAGTACCGTAACGCAGCATAATGTAGCATAGGGCAAAAATGTCACGTTAACTGGAGTAACATAAAGTAATGATTAATAATTTGGAGCATACATGGAAGCCACTTCTGAACTCCTAAAAAGAAGAAGAAGAAAAAACAGCTCAAAGTGTCCAGATGCTCAAAAACCTTCTTATCTGATGAATTGAAACTACTTTTCAAAGTAAAGTTGTAAGATACTTATGACCAGTTCTGCAACGCTTGGTGAAAGTTGTTTTTGCCAATTATTGCCACAGCCGGTTATTCGATTTATGGTGCAGTTACTTGATTTGGTAATCAATTAAAACCTCAAATTTTTCCGGTTGCGTGGCGACCTGAAACGACAAACTGCACCAAAATAACAAGCAAAAGAAATCTGTGAGCTGGGGAAAATACACTTCCACTGCAGTGTAGGTTGTATTTCTCCAATAATTAAGCAGTCTCAATAAAAAGGTTAGAACTGAATGAAAGTGTAAGAGATCTCAGCAAGAAGTGAACAGTAGTTATCTTCTGCGTGGAAATATTTGGACTACCTTTGTCAGACTCCGTGATTTAAGAACTCACACGTTCCCTTACGACATAACATCAGCTTGATATAAATTTTGCATTCAGAGGGACAATACAACAAAAGCCCTCATTGCCGGACAATCAGCTTATCATTCAGCTACATGTGACAGCGTGTATACAGAGGATGGCAGATCTCCTGGGTGAATAATTCAGTAGCAGCAGAGTGAGCGCTCCAGCTCTCAGGGCAGCCTGCCCAGACACAGAGTAATAGCTTTAGCATAAACAACACATCCAAACTTGCTCCAGGTGGCCTCTCCCACCAGAGCGGCCTGCCTGCAAGACACCGAGAGCTGGCTGGGGAGGGCTGCCCGGCTCTTTTGCTCGGCAACTTTGCAGATGAGAGAAAAAAAGAAAAAAAAAAAGAAAAAAGGAGAAAAGAAGACCCCAGAAACTGCACACATCAGCAAAGATCAATAATGAGACGCCCAGCTAACTGTGCGGTCAAAGCGCCGCTTCGCCCAGCGCATGGAGACCTGGAAAAAACGGGATGTGTGGCATCCAGTGGAAACGAGCATCTTTCCCATTTTCCTTGGATCAAAGCGCTATTAACATGAAGTCATTTTCGTTGCCTCTGTGGAAAACAAAGAATGACGATTCCAGTGATTTGCAAAAAGATCCGAACCCTTCAACCTGTCATGTGTAGTCACTTCACGAAAGACCAAAGAAACAAATACAAAGTGAAATTTAAGTTTGAGAATGAGAATGGAACTAAACTGAAGCCACAAACCAACTCTAGTAAAACTTTTTTTTTTGCGCGTGTTTTTTAACTAGAGTAAAACACCTGGAGCACCACAGAGCTAGCTATGGTTCCCATAGCTGCCCTTTGACCCCTCTCTTATCTGGATAAATGGGAGTGCACAGAGGGCAATTACAAGACATGGATCTGATTTTGTAAAACCAGCCACCTCACACTAAAGCAAATACCTCGGCTAATGAAGATGGAGGCCATTTTTATCAGGAGTCCAGCTGCAGAGGCGCTGTTCACCTGAGTAATGACATCTGTAATAAAAGCCAGATATTGTTTTAACTAAAGTGGGCCATGAAATGAAATGAAGGGCTGACTCTTGCTCCTCCGACAGGGAGTTAAAACAGAGAGGAGCGGAATGGAGGGGGCCGAAAAGTGAGGGCTGAGCAGCCATCCTCCACTACATTAAGGGATCATGCTGCTCCCTGAAAATGAGTATTGATCCTCTTAGGTCCGGGATCGTTTAGGAGATTAATGTGAGTGGTGGCTGAGCTCCACGGCGCTCCACACGGGATCGGCGGGGATCAGAGAGCGGGGCTGCTGGGCCTGGGCAGCCATAACTCCACGCCATCTGGGCTGTAAGCTGAGAGAACCAGCTGGATGTCCTGCAGGAGGCGTGGCCACAGGGTCAGCTCAGGTGGGGGCAGGAAGTCTGATTGGCCACCCGCACCGGAGCTGTCAATCAGTGTTGGTAGCGCACGCAGATCATCGTTTCAAATTGACACCTTCAGACTGAAAAAAACTACTTATGAATAATGATGCAAAATGTTTTTTTTATAGCTTCAAACTTGGGAATGCAGTTCTTTCATTGCAATGTAAAGGTCATAACATACTCAGACCACTGATATCCGGTCAGGGGAGGCCCTGTCGTCATGGAAGATTAACATAATGATAAGATAAATTATGTTGCTATTTTCACCCTGTGTTTTGTGCTATAAAGTATTTATTTTTCATTTTAGCTTAACCAATTTTGATTTTTTTCTTTAAAATCGCTGAATTTTTTGCAATTTTCCATTCGTGTGAATTTCATTGAGTGAAAGTAATTATTCTAGCTGGGCAGTGCCGTTATGAAGGGCATGTGAAAGTCCAGCCTTTTTGCCCTTCAAGAGTCTTTTTGCACTTTGAAGAAATGCACCGCTCCCAGTCAAAAACATCCAATCAGAGCAAGGAGCAGGGCCCCATTGCTGTCAGTCATGGTCGTGTAGACGCTGCTAAAGGTCTTAATGGTGGAGAAACAACTTTCTATTCCAGGAAAACAGTTTATCAGGCGTCATCAGAGATCATGCTAACTAGCTTTAGCATTATACTGTCGAGGAGAAGTTGCAGCGTAGCAGAGAGAAAGGGGAGGGTGTGAGTGGCGCGTACATAAGCATGATTTACAGCGCTAACACTATCCTCCTTGTTTCCAGTTAGGCCTGGGAAAAGGCAGAGGAGATCATCTGTCAACATAGTGACAGTGTTAACAAATATGTAAAACTGGAGAGACGTTAAAGAAAATTGCACTGTTAGTGTGTCTGTGCCCCCACCAGCCCAAGAAAAAAACTACTAGACACGCCTCTGTTGTCCTGAATACATCAAAGTCCCAAACTGTGTCACAAGCAGGATGGAGGGGAAAACAGATGAGTTGGAGAAGCGGGGGGAAACGAGAGCGAAAGAGAGGAACAGAAAGTGCAAGAGACGGTTCAGAGGACGGAGCAGCAGGCGGTGGCAGTGATCGAGAGAGACTGAACTGCATAATCTCTCCCGAGAGACGGCAGCTAAATGTGAGGTCCTCCCCTCCTCACACCGCCAGACCAACCAACCAACCCCCAACGAGACAGAATCCCAGCCAGGCACCCCTTCCGGATAAAAGATTCAGACCAAAGCTCTCTAGTCGGGGGCTGTCGGTTGCAACGGATATCATAGCGATGAG